ATGCAATTTTTATTTTATTTATCGACACACGTCTCACTATTTAACCCATAGCTGGGGTAAGAAGAGGTGAATTCGTACTTTTCTCATGTAAGCGAATATCACGATCCCATCTGGATTTGGAACTCATCTTTACGATTAACAATTTCGAACATTACATCACCTGAACATCCAAGATTACAACAGCTGATATTGCAAAGCGCTCACTCATCTAGGTACTAACCAAGATCGACGTTGCTTAACTTCGGTGATCGTATGGGAAGCGGTTTTTCGACGTAATTTGTCCGAAAGCTCCAACAAATACAGTAACTATCCAATTCACAACATATTATTTCAATGGGTTAGAGGTCAAAAGAGGTGGTCAAATGATAATTTCCCCAAATCTGGTGATTTTCACGAGGCCGAATGTTGTGGACGCCCATTGAGGATCGAACTCACTATTCAATTGAAATTGATCGAGAGAGACAAGCTTGCTAACCATTACACCATGCTGAAGCACCCTAATTTCCAAAATTGTGTTTCTTTTTTTTGACTCGATGTAATTCTGACATAATTTAGAAGAGTGTTTTGGATCGACGCCATGTTGAAAGGTGGCGTCTTTTTTTTGTTTCTAATTATGTCTTTGCAAAATCGAATTATATTGTTCTTATTTCATGGTTCCCTTGACCTGAATCAAATCTCGTCCTGTTGGTAATCTCATAAAAAGTCGACTGAAGGGTTAATTGTGAAAACACAATATATTGTTTCCAATAAAAAAAATTTACACTGAGCAGAGACGATCGATAAACAGGTTTAGATGATTTTAAAGGATATATTTCGAAATTACCAATTCACGTTAATATATTACGTATTTTTCTTACCCCTCTTTTTCACACACACACACACAAAAAATATATATATATATATATATATATATATATATATATATATTGAGAGAGAGAGAGAGAGAGAGAGAGAGAGAGAGACGTTTGCAAGGAGTGATACGGCTTGAATATTTAAATTTTAATGTGGCTTTTGAAGAGTGTCGACTTAAAACCTTTTTCGAAATTCGACCTTGTAATGCAAAACGGAGAAAGATTAAAAAGACACACACACATACATACATACATATATATATATATATATATATATATATATATATATATATATATATAAATTAAATTAGATTGTAATGCAGAGTTCTTTAGAATTTATTTTAAAAACTGTTCTATACATTCTAGAGCATAATATTATAATTATTACTTTAAAATATTTTAATTATAATTTAAAAATATATACTTATTGCGACACAGAAATTAACATGTTTCGAAACCAAAACTTAAATCTTGAATCTAACTTAAAATTTGAAGGTTAGCTTCATTTTCAAGCGATGTTGAATAACATTCGAAAAATGATTTACTCGGGATGGGGTGGGGGCGTTGAATGAGATTACAAAATTTTTAAGGGGGTGCTCCCTCACCAACTTAAACTATATAATACTATTCAGCCTTTAAAAAGGGTAGATCATGTTTATCCCCCTCATATATATATATATTTGTGTGTGTCTGTGTCTATCTTTCTTTATTAATCTTTGTCTGGTTTTGTATTACAAGGTGTAATTTTGAACCGATGCCCCCATGAACACATATAAAATAATAATTGTAATATATATATATATATATATATATATATATATATATATATATATATATATATAAAAAGTATTCGGTTTGATGACATGAACATATCTAGATTCATCAAAATAAATTTATATATCGAATATAGATTTTAATTTTTTATCATTATTATTATTATTATTGTATTATATATATATATATATATATATATATATATATATAATTTATATATATATATATATTATTTATATATTACATATGCATAGTACTTATTGAAAAGCTCTCAATATCTGTGATAGAGCTATCATATTTGGATTGATGTGAGTTTGAAAAACTCACATCAATCCAACTAAATATATATATATATATATATATATATATATATATATATATATATATATATATATATATATATATTTGTAAGATTTGGAACAGTTTTTATCCAAGATGCTTGCAAAATTTTGTGTCCAATAAATGGACAGATTTTTATATTTATTTAATATATTCTATGTGTTCTTCTTGGGAAGTAATTTTTTTGCACCATAATAATTTCATGGACCACAGAAAAATTCCGGGTTCAACAGAAGCCATGAGCTAGAAAAGGTTGGGAAAGACTGATTGAGTTTGGAATTCCCGTATTGTCACGTGAACGCTTTTGTTATTTTTGTACACTTCCTTAACATGTTCATCACGAAATCGTGGATACTAATCCGCCATCTCATTGGTTGGCAGACGTGTTCAACAATGAAACGAATGTTTCTATTCAATGAAGTATCATAACGCAAGAATGCTCGCTTTCCGGTCGATACACGCTTGGAGGGACGGTACAGCAACGGATAGCGGTTCGGTTTGTGGTAATCGGAGGACCATGTTCCAATTCCAATCGAATTCATTACATTTATTTACGTGCTAATAACCTTGGGAATGATTCCGTCTCTTCTACTCAACTGTGTTAAATCAGCTCTTCCCAACCTTTGCCAGCTCAATGAAATTATTATAGTCCAAAAATATGACTTCCACTTTACATAGAATATATCTGGATATAAAATTTCTACAGGCAACCCGAAATTTTATACGAATGAATATGCTCCTGTTTTTGAAACCCAAGAACTCTCATGCGGCAAAGGAATCATATTTTAAAAAAATAATAATTATAATATATATGTATAGGATTGGTGAATATAATGAACTCGATTGGAATTCGAACAGGGTCCTCTGATTACCACAAACCGAGCCGAAATTTTATATATATATATATATATATGTAAGCAAATATATGGATATAGATCCGACAGTATGAAAGAAAAATACAGAAAAACAAACAAAAATCTGTATATGCAATTATGTAATGTCCGACGTCGACTTTGTTTTAACATTAATACTACATAATTGCATATTCAGATTTTTGTTTGTTTTTTCTGTATTTTTCTTTCATATATATATATATATATATATATATATATATAATGTCCCCAAACTTTTTCAGCTCAATGAAATTATTATAGTGCAAAAATTACTTCCACTTTTTACTGGAGAATATATCTGAATATAAAAAATTTCTACAGGCAACGCGAAATTGTTTTGCAAATGAATATGCTTATAAAGCTGCATAAATTTCAAGATTAGTTATTCCAGATTCGCTTGAGGATGAAAAAATATCTTGATACTTTAATTCAATTAAATTTTAATAATTATATTGAAGTTTTTTTGCCCTGTTCTTGAAACATGAAAAAACTCTTATGTAGCGAAGGAATCATATTTTTTTAAAATAATTATAATACATATATATATATATATATATATATATATATATATATATATATATATATAAAAAAAAAGAACAGTAAGATATAAAATCCGGTGTTCTTATAGATATAATTCGCTTGAAGATGAAATGGAACTAATGCTTTTAATTTAATTGCAAAATTAAATTCAGGGTTTTTAGCTTCTATTTTTGAAACATGGTTGGAACTGTGTAGCGAAAAAAACATATTTAAATCAATTAATTTATAATATATATATATATATATATATATATATATATATATATATATATATATATATATATATATATTAGTGATTGGAATGTAATGAACTCGATTGGATTACCACAAACCAAGCCTCTATCCATTGCTCTACATTACATAGAATATATCTGAATATAAAATTTCTAATGTCAACCCAAAATTTTATGCGAATGAATATGCTTATACACCTGTGTAAATTTCAAGATTAGTTATATCAAAAATTCGCTTGAGGATGAAAATGAGCTTGATACTTTAATTCAATTTAATTTTAATAAATTATATTGAAGTTTTTGGCTCCTGTTTTGAATTATGGGAACTCTTATGTAGAAGGAATCATATTTTTAAAAAAATTATATATTTAAATATATACATTTCACATATTATATATATATATATATATATATATATATATATATATATATATATATATATATAGGTTTCAATCTTTTTTTCAGCTCAATGAAATTATTATAGTCTGTCTATATTTCTGAGATGAGGTATTATGATGTACATTATTTACATTATTCGGACTATTGTCCTCATCTTTGTCGCCATATTTATTACAACGTTTCGGCCGTTGTACGCTCCGGCCCTCTTCAGGTGGTTGGAATGTCGAACTGAACCCTTTATTTCTCTCACTGGGGTAGACTGTTCTAGTTCCATGTGCCATTTTTAATGGATGTCAGTTATCAGTTATCTCCTAATAATTTCCCTCTGAAAGTTCTCCGCTGCGTTAACTGGGTATTGAACACACACTCTTTGGGTCCTGTCACTGGATCTAACCAGCGCCTTTATCCACTGTGCCATGTGACCTTGAGGATTCTTCTTCATGATGTGGGTGATCATGGTTCTCCACAATTTCCTCTGCTTTGTAGCCTTAGTAAAACTCTTTTAAAATAGTAATGTAATGGCTGGCCGCTTGTAACCAAGTATTCAAGCCAATCCCTATAGCAGACGCCTGCTCGAGCACATTAATTTTTGTCCAACACCGACAGAGATCACCTGTTACAATGTTACACCTACAATGTTGAGCGAACCTTAGTTACAGTTTATGGGAGAGAGTGCATTACCTGGCATTATCAGCAGTCTGAACAATGTCAGTAATGTCAGGATAACTAGCTCAACAATCGACAGCTCCCAAATAATCCTGTCTACTAACAAGGCTTGTATCAACCCGTGGTATGGTTCTCAGGCACTTTCCAAAGGTTCCGCGCGCTGGGATCGCCTCTATAGGCCAATAAAATCAAAAAAGTCATCTTTCTGACAAATCGACGATAGTGCGATTCGAACTCTGGTCTCGTGATCGTTCTAACAATTTGACAACGTACCCATTCTCTCTCCTGATATTAAAATGTCATCT